CTACTGTGTGAATGAGTTCACGTGTAAGAGTATCTCTTATGGCAAACTATTAATGCTCACCATGGTCAGCCTACTGCATGTGATTGATGCGGCGCTTCTGCTACCAACACTCGCTTCACATGACTGGCTGCATTATGACTGCAGCATAAAACATTATTGTGCACTAGAGATGCTGGGTGCTTCATGCTACCAAGCAGGGGTTTGCATGACTGATTAATCTGTTCTTTTCAGCTCCGCTGTTTAATTGAGTTGGAACTGTGTATGAACGTGGGCAACCTACAAGTGTTTGCCTCTCTATCAGCTGTTCCACCGCTTGTTGAGTTCGGACTGATTTTGACCGTTCTTTGTGCCTTAGCTTTGGAGATCGAGAGGATAGCCCTAAAGCCATTGGTGCAGGGTCTATATTGACATCCAAGTCCCCACTCTGTGATTGGTGCTGGCATGCCTGATTTTAGTATCCGTTCCTGTTTCAGAGGTTTTTCCTGCAACTCAGGTGTCTCGGGACCTCATAGGGAAGATCAGGTTACACCATTCAGCTTCTATGGGTTGATTGGATTTGTATCACCTAACCTTGTGCTTGGAGTAAGCAATTTCAAGATGCTGACGCAGAAGTTCATCCTGTCTCTATCTGAACCCGAGATTGGTTTGTGACCATCGATCTAGGATGCGTACTTCTGCATCCAGATCGTAAAGAGACACAGGAGGTTCCTCAGGTTTGCTTTTGGAATAAAGCTTACCAATACTGTATTCTTTCATTACCTTGACGATTGGTTGATATTAGCTCAATCACACAAACTGTTTGGAGCAGCGTTCTTCTGGCACACCAACAGTTCTTACCCAATTGAGTGGTTGTCACATTAGGTCAAGGACTGATGACACGGCTGTGGTCCCATACATGGATTGTCAGAGAGGATTACGCTCTCGCCCCCTGTACAGGTTGGTGAGATGTTCTTCTTTGGATGCAGACCAGGTTCCTGTCGATCAGAGCAGTTCATGTCCTGGGTCACCTGAACTCAGGAGTGGACTTACTCTTGAGACGGAGTTGGAGGCTGGAGAATGGAGATTGCACCCTCAGGTGGTGAGTCTCATATGGCAGAGGTTTGGCCGAGCGGAAGTGG